TAACTTTTCCTTGATTCAGTTTCAGAAGTCTTAACAGATTTCAATAAGAACACATTGCAAAGTATGTTTATGCTCGCTATTGTTACAGGTTGGAAGTCTGTCTGAGATAATAGAGTAGAATAGAAAGTCCCTTTACTGTCCCACAATGGGGGAATTATTGTATTTACAGCAGCAAAAAGATTATAGAAAAAATGGTCCACAATTATGAACCTTAGAAAGATGTATAAGAATAACAATAGTCAAGAGTTATAAAATAAACAAATAAAATACTGTACTGTAAAGGGTTTTAACAATATAAATACTGTGCTTCTGGAGAATAAATAACCAATATACAGCTATTTTTACAGTAATGGATATCTTAAAATAACAGCAACATTGGATATGTGCAAAATGACAGCAGCGTGTTATTTAACTGACTAAGATAGAAACTGTAAAATCAGCATGAATGTAACAATTATTGAGGTTGTTTCCAAAAGCTGTTTAGGTTTGGACATACATGAAGGACAGTTAGAGTAAGCTACCTTAAATTCTGATCTCAAAGTAGATTAACAAATGAAATGTAAAAAGAATCAGAATCAGAAATACTTTAATAATACCAGAGGGAAATTAAAGAAGGAACGTAGATTAACCAGAACATTGATATTTCGTAGCAAAGCATACAGTGGTGTTAAAAGGAAAGTACAGCATCCTGTCATTGATGATCTATCAGACTTCTCAGAGATACTCCTAAGAATGTTGTCAGCATTAGATTTGAATAAACAAAAGTATTGTCTCAAAGCTTTCCTGAAGTTACTCAAGCATTGGAGTCTCACTTTAAGCAAAGTGTTTAATATTTAGCTTCAGTCACAGAACTGATTTACATTTTGCTGAGTCTCAAAGATGATCCTGGATGACATATTACAAAATAGGCAACCAAAAAAAAAAAAATTTACTGAGCCTCAACATGTCACAGTGAAATTGTGAAAACCTCAAGATAGGTTTGCATCTGACACGTTTATTTTTGTGTGGAGAATGTTTAATGTAACTCGGTACATTAATGTAGTTACTGCAGTTTGCTTTTTTGTTCAAATCAATTCTTGGTGAAAAAATGTGACACATTTCATTTTTAAGTGAGTTGTGTTTTTGAAATGCTAAATTTTAAAAGATCACAGCAGCTGTAGATTCTATAGAGAAATAGAATCTATATTCTATATAGGGGGGAAGGGAAACATCAACTCTTGGAGGGAGATGAAGAGAAAAAAGTATATTAAAAGGAGAGCTTAACCCCCACCTTAACTAATGTGGACAAGAAGAAAAACTATGGTGGGGCATCTCATTGATTTACTGCATCTTATGTCGCCTCCGTTATCTGACTGTGAAAAACAATTATAATGTTCTCTCAAAAAAGCCACACAGAAATTTACCTTCAAGTCCAACTAATATTTGCCTTTTGTCTCTTCTGTATTTCATGCTTAAACCTTGATTCCCACCTTATTTTGTGTCATTTTTATATAATAGCTGATAATCACACTCATATAAAGGACCCCAGGCAAGCCACTGAGGGCAGTTTCTGAGGTGATGCAGCTCATTTGTTTTGGGGTAAAAATCTGCAATATTTAGGGGCAGGATCCTGCATTAATGAAGATAAAACCTTTATGTGCAATAAATGCAAGGTTTTCTTCTCTGTATTTTGTGAGTAAAATTTTGTGAGTAAAGTTAACATTTTAAAACCTTTGGATCCTTTCTAGAAGGCTTCATGCATATCTTTTCAGTGCCAACATAGCTCCCCCTAGTGGTAATTCTTAACTAGACACGAAAGACTAAATGAGAATTATGATAACTTGCATTTACACTTCAGTCAATATTTAATGCTAACATTCAACTTTGAGAAGTTTAATAAGTCTGGGCTTTTGCCTTTACTAGCTTAGGAAAAAAATAAATGAAAACAGGATGAAATGACTACCAATGTACAAAACTAGATTCCTTCATTCTCTGTAGCTTAAAAACAAGTCACGTTGGCGTAGTCGCACACAGATTGATGATGAAAACCTGTATGCTGCTGAAGAAACTGGCAGTTTTTCTGACCTCTGTTCATGTTTTTAAAGGACACAGCCTCCACCAAGTCTGCCTGTAGGCCCCAGCCACAAGTTTGCCAACAACTACTATTACACCCGAGATGGCCGCAGAGAGTCGGTACCCGCCACAGTAGTGATGTCTTCACAGAAAGCTCTGACTGCTGGGAGGTAAAATGAAATATTTTTCTGACAATTTGAGAATGTTAAATGTCATCATTGTTAAAGTAAGTCATTACTAGTGTTCTCTTTGCATCTTTGGGATATCAAATGTAGATCTATTTTCTTCTTTCTTTGTTTATTTGTGATATTTGTTTGATCTGTTCTAGTGAGGTTGCAAAGACCACAAAGGCTCCTGTGACGCCGGGAACTGTTTATGAACCACCTCCACTGTCCACAGACCAGCCGTACCTCTGAGCAGCACCCTGAGCCGCTTCATGACTTCTGTTGGTTGTATCTTGTACAATAGAAAGTGTTAATAAAATATGCTATTGTTTCAATTTTTTGTTTCTCATTATATTATTCGGGTCAATTAAAAAAAGAATAAAATGAATTTTTTATTCTGTATCTCAGACTTAAGAACATATCCAGTTGAAATGCGTCACCTATGTTATTCATCCATGATTCAAAGATATCCATATTAACCTCTGATAGATGGACCTCTAATGTCTGACTGCAAAAGGAAACTGTACTATACACACAGTTTTCCTAATCTAGAAAAGGTTTAAATGTTTCCATTATATTTCTGGGTTTATTAAAAATGTATAGTTTAATTTTGATTAAGAAAGATTTTACTCCCGTTTAAGCTTGTTAAGTTTGGCAGCTCATTTAGACTTTTATTGTCAATTTGTATAGACAGTGTATACAGAACGAAATTTCGTTTTATACAGCTTTCAGGATATTTTCATTTCTTAAAGTGCAGCAGTGATCAAATATAAACGGTGTGGGAGAAAATACATGGTACGTTTATACGTGCAAATATGCAGCATTTATTCAGTTTCTCTGCAGGGGTTGTACCAATTCCTGTAATTATACTGTGCAATATTATATGGAACTTATTCACATTTGAGCGCATGAGAAAAAAAATTCTATTTGTCTAAAAATCATTCAACAAATTTTGAAATTTTTAAATTTTCTCTTAAAAATGTGGAGTAAACACAAAGCGGGGCATGAACACCGCATAAGAGAAATCAGGGGGAAAAAACAAGGTAACATCACGTTGCCAAATTTCTGCTAAATAAAGATTTAATTAAAAAGAAAATTCACAGCAGTTCATCAGAGCTGAAGGTAGCCAAACATTGTACTCAAGAGTAGTGAGAATTTTTTTACAAGAGAGAAAAAATATTAGGAGAGAAGGCCATTAAACAATCAACTAATAACTGATTTAATTTTTAACAAATTACATATAATCTGTAAGATGAATATAAAGTTCTGTAGCATAAAACACAAATAATTATTTTGTAAAAATTGTAGGCATATATAAACACTTTCTACTTTTGCATATATGACACAAATAAAACCTATATAGCAGTTAATGTCTATACAGTAGGTTATGATTGCAGAGTTCTACTGAATATAAACAGCTTATTGTATGTTTGCTTGATCTCCAAGTGGCTCAACAGAGAGATGATAATATCATTAAAACAACAAAGCTTGTATATAAGCAAGGATTCTAATTTTTAAACTGTGTCTCTCTGGTGCGATATTGGTTAAACCATGTCTGTTCTTTATTAAATGAAGTGGGAAGAATAGCCAGAGATTAAGAGTAGTAATAATTGTTAATAATATTACCTCAGTAAAAACTAAAGTGCAGTAAAACTAGAATGTAACTGAGGAGATGCAGTTACTACCCACCTGTGCATAAGTATAAAATGTTTTAGAGCAGATTTTATGCCCACATTTAACAGATATTCTTAAGATAGAACTTTTAATTCTTTGTTAAAAACCAAACAAAAAAGGAAAAAAATAAACAATAACAAAAATAGTATAGAAAATGTTGGTTAAAAGGTTGCGTCTTTTAGTAACAAAGTTCTTAATTGTGAGAAGATGGGTGGAAGTTGGTTCATTTTTTTTTTCATTTGACAGTTTATATCAGCTGCGGCTCTTACGTCATATTTCCGCGCCACTCGGCTCTTCGTTGCGGACGAGGCATCCAGCATGGGGCACCTTGGAGGCTTGTTTTTATTGATCGCGCCGTTTATCTGTCTTCATCTTTCGGGTACGAGTCAACCTTTATGCATGCATATAAACTTCCTTAGCTCTGAGCTGCGGTCTTTGTTTTTTTTTTTTATTCTCTGTGATGACCGGCTGAAAGTTGTCAGCGGTCCTACTATCACCGGGCTGCTGCTGTAACTCTGCTGCAGCATATCTGCTGCAGGAAGTCAGGCTGAAACTTTATGCCTGTGGTTTACAGACATGCATCTGTCAAAGTAATCTCTTTATGTTGATGATAAAGAATGTATATTTATTTTCCACAAAAGTCTGAGCATTAGGATACCATATGGTAACATTTTGTTGATATGAATGAAATTAAGGTGTAATAGTTTGATGGAGGTTTATTTAAATAATAGCCATTTTTTGTTCGGTAAAGCTGGGTTTATTTTCTTTCTTTCTTTTTTTTCATTAACAGTTTTTAAATAGTTCTGTAAAATAATATCAAAGTTGTATTTTTATAATTTTATTTAGTCAGTATGGGCCCTCTCTGTATTGATAATAATCAGTGGCCCCATCACTCAGGGGCCCCATCACTGGCACCTGGTAGCCCCCCTTCTTAATTATAGACCAGGACGTCTACAAATGCATCGTTCTTTTGAGATCTTTATTGCGGTCCTAAACATATCTAAGTGCATTTTTTTTTTATACCAACTATCTAATGAACTATACACAGTTATTAAGTAATTAAAAGTACCACTGTCTGTTTTGTTTAAAC